AAGGCAGATTTGAACTCAGCATTTGAAAACACGTCCAGCAGTGTAGGTTTCATATCAAACGCCACTTCGACTTGGGATCCTTCCCTTGTGAGTATAACAGAAGATTCTACGATGTTCTATCACAAAAACTCGCGATACTCTTCAGAATCGCTCATAACTTCTTATCTCGAGCATTCAACCCTAGTCGAAAGAGAAAACATCAAGACCTGCGACACTGTCAAGGAGACAGTTTGCTCCGCCTTTTCAGAATTCAGTCCGCTATATTCTGGAGGACGTGCCTTCCATGCTGTTGAAGATTACACCGAAGGGCTCGTTTTAATGTTTCATTATTGCACAACATCTCTTTTTTGCTATGAACATTCTAGATAGTCTTCTACATCTGAACCATAACTCAAAGAGTTCTTGCCGGCTTTTACCTAGTGAATACAATAGAAAGGAGCATACGATCAGACGGTTCTGCTGTCCCTTTTCCTTCCCTTCTTTCTGCGTTAATTGCTCGAAATTCTTATTCTTCTCTGGCTTATTTGAAGAACACAGCTCATTCATCAGGGCAAGCTGCATTACAAGCACTAAACAGGGGTTAACACGCGCCACTATTTTTCATATCCTCCACTAGTGCAGCCATTTCGTAGGTCGAAATGTTTCGTGTACTTCATAATTGTTTAGTTGATCCTTCGTCACTGCTGGTTTGATTTCATATTACACTGTTTTTTGGTATGTCTTTTTTTACTGAACAAGAGGTCTGCGAGAATGTGGCTGTTTACAGTCACTACATAAAGGCGTTTGATGCGGCAACAATTAGATTCGGAAAAACATTATCCTGATTTTTTATTCGTTTTGAAGGTCCGTGGGGTCCACTTGATTGAGACTACCCTTAAGATACTGAAAAAAGATATCATTGTAGCTTTGCCTATAAGTACTTATTTAGTACTCCGATGTGGGATTGGACATCTATATAAAGCAACTCAAATTATCCAAAACACGGTGCCAAAAAAAGACTTGATGTCACTTGTGTCCAGTTTAGAAAACATTTCCGCTAGAAAGAGTAGGAGTCAGTGATTGAGCGAGTTGGTACAGGTGGAATGTGTATGAGAACACGAAGAGGAAAACAAAGGAATTGCGAAAAAAAGCTAAGGGGGAAATAAAACCTACCGTCTGTAGAGTACTCCTTGACATTTTTCTTGGTCTCTGTTTCTTCTTTCTTCTCGAGCTGCGACGGTTGTTCACTTGTCTTCACAGATGATCCCACTCCTTCTGATAAATCTAATTAATCCTACTACATATATATAACGCGCCAAATGTGTCTGATGGTTTGTCAGTGTGTTGCTTTGTCTGTGTGTGTGGTTGACCAGAAATTCATAAGTTCTGTGTACTTGACCTAGAGTGATCAAACTTGGTAGGAGTACTGGCAAGAGGAAAGGAACACTACATAGTAGTAAGTGATAGGACTATGATGCGCCCACGGGGGCTAGACGTGTGCGAAAATTTTACCCTTGGACCGACGATGTCAAATTTGCGAGAGGTGCAAGATGCAGACTAGGTGTCCCTGTCATCCCTACTTCTAGAGAATGCATAAAGTGAGCAAAATTTTGTCAGCGCGCGATCAGAGTTCATATTGGGAAGTTATGTATGCATCAGTACAGAACAAATGGACTCATCCCTCTCGAGGAGTTTGGTGGATTACCAAAGGAAGATTGTAAAAAGGACGTGTAACAAAGGTTTATTATCACGCCTAGTACAAAGATCGACCATAATAATACATTCACGGGGTTTATATACACAATATGTGGGCGGTCCTCAGATACCGTATCGCCACTGGACCTTAGGGGGCCCGTGGCGGTACTCAAGCTCGGGGGATGAAAGAGCGGACCGCGCCAACGGCAGAACTTAAGCTACCTACTTGATTGCACACTTACGATACCGCCAGGTCATGCCTGTGGTCTCAACTCAAGAGATACTTACGTTAAGTTATGCCTTGGTTAATATGTTGAACTAGCATGTTATCTATCATACTGGTAAAGGCTAGTTCTATTATAAACATATATATGGTTGTGAATCCACAACACTGGGGCGGGGCGAAAAGTAGCGGTAGCTACATTGTACAACAGTATTACCTACGAAAAATTAACTGTGAATCAATGCATATGCTATACTAGACAAGCGAATATCAATGCAACTATGCGACAACAATGTTCAACATTACAATATACAATAATTCTCAGTATCTATGAATACAGTGATAGTTTCTACAAATGCCTTTCGATGCGTAGACGGCGTCGAGTGGCTGGCTTCTGGAGACGCTGGTGTAGAGAGGAACCTGGTTCTTTGCAGCTCTTGGTGGCTGACGTCTCATGGGAGCGCCAGCTTTCTTCCTCGATGTTGATGACGGTTTTCTTGGAGTAGTGGCTCTTGCTCGATGTGTTGAAGACTCCTTATTCTGGTCGTGTGATGAAGAGTGTATTTTCAGAGGAGTTAGTTGATTGACTGGTCTCTGAGCTATTCTCCCTGTTGATGATTGGAGTATGGCGCTCCGAATTTGGCCGTCTGCTGCCTGGTGCCCAATCATATAGCAACGTCGTCTCGTCGGGACGGTAGGGCGCTGAGATGATCGCGGTCGACACACTTCCGTCTGAGTCACTTGCTGCGTCCTTAGATCCAGTGTATGCACCCTTCTATCGAGTCGTTTTAAGCGGTCCTCCATCCGATTCAGTTTCCGCTTGATGTCGTTCACGCTATCCAGTAAAGCATAGAACGTGTCACAAACGTTCTTACTCGGGAAGACGCCCTTGTCATCTTGTGATACTGAGGGGGTTCTCAAGGTAGTTTTTGGTTGACCTACAGGCCCTCTCTTCTTCCGTGGTGTTCCTTCTGGAGGGATTCTGCTGATCCGCTTGAGACGTACTTTTGCAGCGGAACGGATAGGAGTAGGATCTGGGATGTTCACGAGAGGTGCTTCCGCTCCAGAGGTGTCCAGGTCCGTTTCGAAGCCTTTTTTCGACGAAATATAAGGAGCAGCTACAATGACCGAACCACATAGTGCATCACTATTTCCGTTGATAGGGCGAAGTGTACCGCTGGCACCAGAAATAGTATAGCCAAAGACTGTTGGAGTGAGAACTAATCCTGATGGTAGCTTTGTAACTGAATTGTGGTGTTCGATCACTTGATTTAGGAGGTCCTGTCCAATGAGTAAATCAGGTGAAACTTCTGACGGGCGTAAAGTTCGCTGAGCAACTATGATTTTCTCCATTCTAATGAAGCTTTTGTCAGCTTCCGATAGTAGAGCGGTTTTAGTAGTCGACATCAGTTTTTTCTTGGTGAAAACCGATAGACCTTGCAGTTTCCTCGAGCTGCGTAAGCCCTTCAAGGTCACTTTCACCTCATTCAATTTGAAAGTTTCTTGAAGCTCTCCCATTCCTGTTGTGGTAAATGATGTGGAGCTTATTGTTGGCAGCCTCAATCTGTTTCTCATCTCTGCCTTTATGAAGCTTTTCTGAGCTCCTGAATCAAGAAGAATAGTNGCCAAATTTTCTAGTCCTCAGGGAGGCTTGTTTGGTAGTTAGCTATCTTCTGATCTCTCACTGTGGAGAGATTGTGCAGAAGATTTGTGCTTGTTTCCCGGTTCTCTTTGAAGAACTCGGAGAAGATTTTCTCGCTTTCTGGGAAGTAATAGAAATTTCCTTCTGTCCCTCACTTGGAGAGCTAGCGCAGAAGGATATGTCTAGTTTCTGTATTCCTCAGGGAGGAATCAGAGTAGTTGTTTGAGCTTTGACCAGAGATGTGGTCAAAGGCTTGCCAGATTTTGCTTTCCTCAGGGAGGAATGTGGAGCAAATTGGCTGAGTAAACTTTCTGTCTTTCACTGGGGAAAGCTAGCGAAGAAGGCTTTTTGATTTCTGTATTCCTCAGGGAGGAATCAGATCAGAAAGACAAGTTTGACCAGTGATGTGGTCAAGGATTGGCCAGATTTGCTTTCCTCAGGGAGGAATTTGGAGCAAATTGGCTATTTGTTGAACCTTCTGCTTTTCACTGAGGAAAGCTAGCTCAGAAGGGATCGCTTCCAACGGTCGATGCACCAATTTGGTGGATTACCAAAGGAAGATTGTAAAAAGGACGTGTAACAAAGGTTTATTATCACGCCTAGTACAAAGATCGACCATAATAATACATTCACGGGGTTTATATACACAATATGTGGGCGGTCCTCAGATACCGTATCGCCACTGGACCTTAGGGGGCCCGTGGCGGTACTCAAGCTCGGGGGATGAAAGAGCGGACCGCGCCAACGGCAGAACTTAAGCTACCTACTTGATTGCACACTTACGATACCGCCAGGTCATGCCTGTGGTCACAACTCAAGAGATACTTACGTTAAGTTATGCCTATGGTTAATATGTTGAACTAGCATGTTATCTATCATACTGGTAAAGGCTAGTTCTATTATAAACATATATATGGTTGTGAATCCACAACAAGGAGAGACGTACACGAAAGTTCTTCTTTTGAACCTGGAGCGCAAATTCGGAAGCAGTACAAGGGACAGTATGAAAGCGCTGTTGATGTTGAGAGTGACTAGTTTGGATCCCGCCCACGGGGTGAGTAGAGGGATGGAGCGGCAGAGAGAGGATGGATAAGTGGAAAACAAGAGCCGCTGGACTCTTACCTCGCCTGTATGGTCTTATTGACCAAGCCTCGCTTCTTTAGGGGTAGGCGGTGGTGAGGGGTTGTCACGGGATCGACGAATGGATAGCGTCACAGAAAGGTTATAAACGGTCTAGCTAGGTGGGAGCCACTTAATCCGTTGCGCTTCTCTTGATCCCACTGAAACCTTGGCTGTTCTATGGGCTGTGTGGCAGTGACGGTTGCAGATAATATTGATGACGGTTGATGACAGGAAATAATATTTTGTGGTGCTTTTTGTAGTAATATTACACTGGCTAGTGGAAGCAGTAAAATATGATTACAACAATCACAAAAAAAAAACGCCCTCCATTCCACACGATTACGTTTCGATCTCGTCAGGCACCGAAGGTACAATGAAACGTTATGCACCCCTCATTCCGTTGTCTCCTCTCAAAAAAAAAACTCAATTGGCCACTAACTCCTGAGATACTTCAACAGTGAATGTATATATCAAAGATAAGGTAGCCATGACATTGGCAAAGACTACTTCATGTTAACAGTGCTTTGCCGTTCAGTGACAACATGAACCATTATGAGGTCGCGGTTGACTAAACAGGTGGCTCAGCTCCAGACGAGGAGATGCTATGTTCTATGAAAAGAAAGCACAGAATCCTCGAAGGACCTTGTAGTGGATGAATTCATCAAAAGTAGCGGAACAAGACTAAGTAATCATAAGAGAAAGTGTTTTCAAATATTGGATGCCACATGCATCGCGCTGCTGATGCTAACCCTATGTTGTTGCGGTGACCGCTCAACTCCTGGAGGTTCCTTCATCTTTCATCAGCTTTCCAGAAAATCTTTCAATACATTTACTGAATTATTTACAAATGAGATATAAATTTCTTAGGTTGGTAAACTATTCCGAATTTCCGGGGAAACGTAGGAAGCCCCCAACGTATCTACTAAAAGGCATGTGTCAGTTTTTGTCATAAACTGTACCTCCTTTTTTAAGCTCATCCTTCGTGCTTTTTTGCGTATCAGTGGGTTGTTGGATTAGCGGCAACCGGTCAGCCTCTTTCTCCTTCCCCGTCGAGCCGTATCCTTCTGCAATTAGAACGATCACAAGTAATACAATACTATTCTGATTTGCTATGAAGAGCAAGTATTGCTTTCTCCCCAGAAGATTCGTCGAAGACAGATCTTCGGTGGGGGAAAAAAGAGAGAGTGAGAGAGCGTAGTAAATAGGCTAGAAAAAAAGCTCCGGTTGCAATCTGTGGATGTGCCTAGCAAGATTATTGAACTCTACTCCTTCCTCCCCCTTAATTTTTCTTAAGTAAAACAGGTAAACGCAAATGCTTTCTCATGTTTCCGGTAAAATCAAGAAAGAACAACTTTTCTTATGATGTATGGTAGTTTAACTCAGCGTCAAACCATCGAGTTATACGGTTCGTTATATTACAAGTATGAAAGAGCTTATTTTCGGAGTTGTCGTTTCATCAAAGTTCCTGGATGTAGTCAGCAATGGCGCTCACTATACTGTCATCAAAACACACTCTCTGCATTGAGTTATGGAGTAGTTATTAGACTGTAAAATAAATAGAAGAAAAACCCTTTCGCGGTTCACAGACAGTGCTGCTCGTCTGAGCAACAGCCACTCAGGAACTTTTTAAAATAGCAAAAAAACGCGTATTTATGACCCTCAGTAATCACAATTCATGCTCTGCAAAGCACTTCTCTTTATACTGCAAAACACATGTTTCGAATCAACAGAAGCGTTACCTTCCCTCTAGAAAGAATTTGAAGTTTTTATTTATCAAGGACAGCACAAATTTTCACCCTTTTGGAGCCCGAGCAGCTGTCTATAGTGATGGTGAGCATTTCACCTGCAGGGTTCGCGCAAAACCCCTATGTTCTTTGATCATTTGAGTGTTGTCTAACCTTTCGTTGGACTCTACGTTTTCGGTATCTGGGACACTCATGATGACAAAGATACTCGCAAGGGTAACGATACTTCCAGAGATCCTATTTATATACCCCGGATTCAAAGTTATCATCACCAAATTTGAAAATAACCCGGAGTAGCCATATGTGTTGGGCAAAATTCGAATGGTTCGCGAAATATTCTCTCGTACTATTATTCGTCAATGCTTCTGTGCCATACAGGTTTTTTAATGGTGGAATACTTTTATTCGCCTGACGTTTCGACAATCTCGTCTTTATCAAAGGCCTGAAAGCGTATCGTAACTTTAGAGTACCTATCACGTTTGACTCTCTCTCGTACTGTTTTCAAAGTTTTTGACTGTATCCATTCATCTTTTGAGGATTAACAAATTTTCAAGTTGGAAACTGTCTCATCCCACGCGACAGTCACGAAAAAAACTGGCTCGTCGGCAACGTGCTTATCATCTACCTCAATTCGAAGTGCTCTGGTGGTTCATTTTTATGCTGGTATATGAAAAGCTAATGCGTTGGTAAATCAAAAACCACTACTCGATTCGAGCGTCCAGAACTATAAGAATAGTGAGCTACGAAAATGTCCAATTGAATTAGGGCAATCGAATTAGGGAAAACTAACTGTTCCTCCGTGGATTATCTTCAATGCCAAGTAGTCGCGGTAATCTGGTAACGCTCAGAGAGTGTTCTCTCATGACACCTTAAATAAGTACAATAAATCGGTTCTGATAGCGTAATATCAAATTAAATATCCTCTTAGCACCACATTCTTCTATTAATGGCAGTCCAGTGTCACCGCAATATGGAAGGCAAAACTTAGTGTTCGTTAAAGAAGGGCGTGCTCGTTCCATCAGAATTGCGTGACGCTGTCATAACTCAAAAAGAGAAGGAAAAGTAAGACTTTTTGAGCTACGTGATCGGCATTGTAGGTTTTTTGAATTATACTATGAGACAGGGCAGAGGTGGTGTAGTGGCAAGTGGCGCACTATCTCACACGCATGGTCAGGAGTTCGAGTCCTGGATCGATGCTGGCCTAGGCCAACCAAGCCTTCCATCCTTCCGGAGTCAGTTAATTGGTACCAGTCTCGTCTGGGAGGATAAAAGCTCTGACTTGTACATCGGCTGGCCACCGCAAGTCATTGTATAGGCCACATACGCACTCATTACGCCACTACGATTCTGAATGGAAGTCGAGTGCGGGGGCGCATTCCTCAGACGGGATTGATTAACGCCAAAACTTTATCTTTTAAACTATGAGACACCCTTTCCAACCCCTGCACGGAATTATTTCACGCACATGCTTGCTCATCCTTCTGGTTTGACCAGGGGTCGAGCAGGGTCAAATCGTCACAACAGGAGGTGCATGCGAAATATGCTCACGGCTGAAAGCCAAGATTGACAGTTCTGAATGAAAAGGTGTTTTGTCCGAAGAAAAATAAAATTACCAGGAAATAGCAAAGAATAAAAGCTCCAACTTGGTCAATCAAGCGCGCGGAACTGTGGTCAAAAATCTGCTAGTCTTTGAACGCACATGGTGGCTTAGGAGGAGTGGAGGGAGATTGGACATTAACTCGAGCTCTTTGAGACCCAAAATCAGCGAATGTTCTGCACCTGACCGACTACTCGTAGCTTTTCCACGTTCGCACTTCTAGCCGACGATTTCGATGCGACGAAACCTTTTAAAGTGAAAAAAACATATTTGCTTCACTGACAAGGACGGCAAGCTTGAACTCGCGTGCGCGAACAGCTGCTTCACTGACCTTAAACAAACGTCAAATGGTTGTGGCGCTTACACTGCTGTTCCCATCCGTTGTATAATTTCTATAAGGCCCGTAAGGTTGCTCGGCTACCGTCAAGCTCTCTTTTTTTTTTCGTATTAAAGTTGCTCCCCATTCCTTCGGCTTGAACTCATTTCATTCTCAGATGCTCTGCTAGGAAGAAAAGTGGCTGTTTACGACCGAAGACAAACACACACTTCGATTCGTATGAACCTCGCCCGCTATGAGCGGCTTCCTGAAGCAAGCCCGATCTGTGCTCAAGCCCTGTCTGTATAAGTAATCAGTACCAGTACCACTTATCCCAACTAGAATCGATTTTTTTCAAATTGGGCTTCTATCCCAGAAGTTCCACTCTCCTTTATCCCACCAACTCGGGTGGATTTCCTATCACCTATCATCAGTGTTCCCATATTGCTGCTCGTACATACTTCTACTGAGTTTGAAAGTGGGTTCAGATTAACAGTTTTCACGCACGCCTCTCTGCCCGTCCAGTCTTGGCCCGTGCCCTAAATGCACTCGTTCTGCCGTCTTTGCTCCTACCAAGCTTGATCGCTCTAGGCCCGCTCCTTTTTCGCTCATGCCCGGCCCCCTAGGGCTTTAGTCCCAAACCTGTCATCAGTGTTTCAGTGTTCCCATCGTGCCGCCTGTACACCCAGCAAATTTGAATGCCTCAAGTCCAAATTCCCAGTTTTCACGCTGGCCGCACCCATTTTGGGACGAGAATAGTTCTGCCACCTATCAGTGTTCCCATAGTATCGTCTGCACTCGCACCAAATTTGAATGCCCCTAGACCATGGGAACAGGAGTTATGATTTTTGCGCAGACATTTATTTCGTCCGCTCTCCATGGGCGTAGTCCAGTCCTGTTGCACAGCCACCACAAATGTTCCCACCTTTCCGCCTGTAGACCTACCAAATCTAAAGGTTCCTGGTCTTCAGGAACACGAGCTATCAATATCCGTTGAATAAACACACGGATACACACACAGACAGACGATAGTGCGTTATATATATATATATATATATATATATATATATATAACGCTTTGTTATGTAATGACTAATTTTTCACAGCGTTTTGGCCCAGAAGGTAATACTCGAGGAGATGGAATAGGTGGCTGAGAACACAGCTAAAAAGTTGGCAGTCGGTAATGATCGATCGATTCCAAGCAGTGTCAATTTGAATGCCACACATGGACTATTCCTCACAAAAATTTTTCGAGACAAAAGGTGAAGGAGGGAAAGCAGGTGTCAACAGGACTTCTCCAACTGTCGAAGAAACCAGGATACCTGAGCAATCTTACAGGTCTTCGAATATTCCATAAGCCGAATGTATCAAAAAAGATCTGCTTCAATTTTCGAGTAATTAGCTGCCACTATTTTACACCGACTTCCTATGCTATTTTTATACTCATTTCCTTTACGTTAGAATACAACAGAATACAACTGCCCGTTTCAAAGTTCAAGTCAACTAAAAAACCGGTCACTTTCCGACTTTAAACCAGCAATGCTTACTTTTCTCCTTGGCGTCACCGACTGTTTGTATATTCGACATGCTGACTGAATGGTTTTGCTCATTCCACAACCCCTCGCCGGATTTATGCAGACGCTCCGAACTGCCACCGATCTAAAGAGAACTATTTCACAATAGTCATATTTCAGAGAGCATGAACTATTTAAACTAAAATTATACGTGCATCTATCAAAAGCAAGCTCATTTCACCATTTTCAGAAAAAATAAAGGAGGGACGGTAACGTTAAATCGTTTCCTTAATAGTTAGGATGTTCAGCAATTGAGAATACGTGTCCATTTGTAAGCTGAGCAGGCGGCGAAGCAGCCATAGCACTGGTCCCTCTACATAGCGGCAACAGTAGAGTCCAGCGGGTAACCACTGAGGGACCAGTGCTCTGGTAGACCACTCCCCACCAGCTAGCAACTGAAAACTCGGATAAGATGCTTTTTTGCCTGAATTTTCATGAGACGATCAAGAAAGGATGAAGAGAGCATTGATAATCTGGATTTTTTATTGGCGATGCTTGATGCTGATCTCATTCTCAACCAAATTGCAGCGATGAAGCAAAGATTAGGCAGAAGCGATTGCGTACTGACCCTTCACAAACCTTCGGTCATATCACATGTTATTTCACAATGCTTTGCAGTACAGGTTTGTTATGATGGATCCGTTGATAAACGGTCGACGTTTCGACAAACTTGTCGTCTTCAAGAACCTGAAAGTATTGGGTTGTCCGGAAAGTCCCCGTTCCGATTTTCCATTCAAAGGTTTTTGCAGGAATCTCAAGAAGTGGTAGTCTGATGGTGCTAGGTCTAGACTACATGGCGAGTGTGGTAAGACATCCCATTCAAGCTCCAGCAAACTTTTGACGAGTGATCAAAAATACGTGACGTCTGAAGTTATCCTGTTGGAAGACAGCGCCCTTACGATTGGCCACTTTTGGGCGCTTCTGGTCTATCGCTGCCTATAAATTGTTTAGCTGAGTACAGCATCTTTCCAAAGTTATCGTCCGACTATGCGGCAACAGCTCACAATAAATGATTTCCTCCAATCCCACCAACAACACAGCATAACCTTTCTCACCTGGATTTTGACTTTTTGAGTAGTTTGTGACGGCTCACTGAGAAGGCTTCACGATCATTTTCGCTATACGTTGTTGTACGATACCCACTTTCTGTTACCGGCTTTCATACATTTCAAAACAGCTCATTTCTGTTTCGCTCTAACAACAAGACGCACATGGGGTGCCGTCCATCACACTGCTCTCGCTTAGTTGGTGAGGTACCCAAACGTCAAGGCTCTTAACAGAACCACGTTCCAGCAATTACAACGCGGTACGCGGTGAACTCAAAGCCTACAAGAGGGAAGGAATGGTAGAAATATATATTTCATATTGGTGAGCCGGGAAGAATGCACGGCATACGCGTCAAAGAACATCTAGCATGTAAAAGGCGAGGAACCCTACTCACACCATTCGGAAGGCATCGTCTAGAAGAACATCAGTGCAAAGTTTTTGACATCAAATGCAAAGTTTTAGCCTACGAAAAAGTGAGTACTGCTAGAAAGATATTGGAAGTGTTGTACCTCCCCGAGAGGAATCCTAAACCGAACAACCAAAATGAGTGCATTGCCATGACGAGTGACTTCTGCCATTCATTCCCTTTTGTTAGCTTTGAGATCACTGCGAATTCTTATCTCACGACCGTTAATGGTGTCTCATTGTTGTTCACGAAATAGAATGGGACGACAGCGCAGGTGGAAGCGCAAGAGGTTGGTTTCTTGGCAGGGATATTTCAGTGTTTGAGTTTCTGGGAGCAGCTGCAATTGGCCTAATGCGTTTCGGCGCTTCGTCAGGTAAGCCACAGACCAAGAGCTCCGGACTACTTTCAGGTCCCTGAAGACGACGAGTTAGTCGAAACATCGATCTAATAAACGGGTCCATTATGCAAATCTGTACGGCAAAGCATTGTGAAATTTTAAGGGGAATATCAATAGTTTGCTGAACGCCAATTAGCTCCCGATTTTTGTGTGACGGAAGAACATCCAGTAGGAGTAGAAAGCTAGAAATGGGATTAAAATGTTTCACATTCAGTGAGCAACTCTGTCTATGGAAGGGCCCCACCTAGTCTTTTTGATAGAATGTCAATACCGAGCTTTTCTCACCTTGTCTTCACACAACTGCGATGCTGATGCATTTGGACTTCTTGACAGTCCATCGAGAGGGTAAGGAAGCCCTGTGGTACTTCCATATCCTTGCTTCTTCAGGTATAGGTCCATGCTGTCACCAGAATCCAAAAAGACCGGCTTACCTTCCGTCACCCGCACCAGTGATGTCCATTTCTAGAAGGCTTTGAGATATGGGAAGTTGGCAAAATGGACCCTTTCTGAGAATAAGGCATTACATGATGACTAGTGGCAATGCGGTTTCGGTCAAACCGAAAATACAGGAACAAAGATTTTCCTAAGAAGTCATTCACATAAGAATAAAACAAGGCACTACTTCTAGCCATCTTCGAAAACACGCACGTTCGCTCACTTGTGGAGCTACCTTTTCGGTTTGAGTCCAAATACGATATGCACCATAATTGCAGTCGATGAATGGCCCTCGTTCAACAGCAACATACTCGCCATTATGCTCGAGCTCGGCGAACTGCAAATAATTTGATCGGGTTGAACCATAACAGTTTCGACTATAGCTAGAGTCAAAAGTTAAGGTTAGTCGTATCTCTGACATGATTCACTCTGAGCCCATCGACAGAATATAATCTGTTAATTGCTGTTGTTGTACCGAGTTTTCGTGTCAGCGCGTCGAGAAAAATTATCTGTAATAGTAGATAATATAGGAATACGCCAATACTAAAGTTAAATGGGAGGCCATTTAGAGCCAGCAAGTTGTCAAAACCCACCCAGTGCTTGTATTCACGTCTCGTTATGGTGATGAGCTTGCCTGGATCGCGTTCGTCACCGTTCTTGTAGACACGAATCTGAAGAAAATTGATCGCATTGCAGATTGTTTTAATGGAACAACGAAATTTCTCGTCCGCACTTCTTCAATCAATCAGTGAGTCGGTTATGTGAGTCTTGTATGACAAGCGAGAATGCAAAATAGTCCCGCCCCACAATCAGTGAAAACTTTTGAAGTCTGCGTGCACAGCCTATCGTGCAGGCTGCTTGTTGAGAAATTCTTTGGCTTTTTTCGATGATACTTGTCATTTGTTCTACAGTTAATCAGCCAGACGGCACTAGCATTCTTTTTTATCGAGGGGAGTTTCTGCCCCAGGCGATACCCTACTCTTTCTGTTAGTAACAATGATTCAACGATTGTTACCACAAGGTTCCGAGAAAAGATACGAAATGTAATGATCGGCAAATCAAACCCTCCTCATCTGGAACAAATTTATTTATTTACTTATTTATTTAGTTAGTTATTTATACACGCAGTTGAGTGCGTCAAAGCAGGGAATTGAGGACAGGTGTACAACTACAGAAGAGTCTAACCAAGATCAAGATAAAACGAGCTGAACTGAGCCAGCAGTGACAATCTGCTGAATACCAGTATCTGTACTAGGGTAGAAGTGGAAAAGAACTCATCTAAGAAGATTGGACCATACACGCTACATTGGCTGAACTGACAACCTTGAGGAAGGAGATTCCAGACAGCCAGTACCCGCACCTGTTGGCCATGGTGCCTCATCCGAGAAGGAGTCACTGGACAAAATCGGAACGTCGGCACACAGGTATGCCAGCCTCCCTCGTGGAACCGACTTGTCGTATACAGGCAAAAGACAGTACATGAACAAAAGGACAGGTGCAGAATGGTAAATGATATTTTTCGGAACACAAAAGAGGACAGAAGGCTAGTAGAGTATGCAAGATGAATTCAAAATGAGCCGATGCTTATACCTATTTTTACAAGTCTCATTCTGTTGCTGTTCATCTTGAAAATAATGACCCATTGAAACTTCAACTGGTATGCAACTAAAGCTCTGAGTGGTACTTACAAATTTTCTCGAGCTAGCCTTATCAAACGTCTTTATCAATGAAGATTCCTTTCTCACGGATATAGTAAATATTAAATGAAAATCCAAAATAAGTATAAGTAGTATAAGTTTTGCCAAGAATGATATCGAAGCGAAGGGAAAAGTCATGACTAGCGAAGGCGTTGGATTTGTTTGCTGAGAGAATCTTGCTACTTCCAAAAGGCTCTTTCTTCGTTGGTTTTCCCATCCTGTCCCCTCTATTCCCATGGAGTATCCCGCCCCCTTCAGACGAAGACTGCTGCGCCGCCCATTATAAGTGTTCACATCCTACCGGCTGTACTCCTTCCAAATTTGAACGCTCTAGGTCTACGGAAACAGGAGATATGATTTTCCGCTCAAACTCCGCCCGTTGTTTGCGTGGTTCGATCCTGCCACCTACCATAAGTGTTTCCATCCTGTTTCCTGTAATCCTAGCAAATCTGAACTTCCAGGTTCACTGGCACAGGATTTATGAATTTCCGACCAGGACCCATTATAGGCGGAGTCTGGTTTTGCTACCCACTATAGGAGTTTTCATCCCGCCGCCTGCACTCCTACCAAATTCAAACGCTTCTGGTCAACGGGGACAGGAGTTATGAATTTCTGGTCGACACACACACTAACACACAAACATACGCACACACACGCACGCACACACAAACACATTGACACACCAACAAACACACTTAGCGAATTATATATAGTAAGATTCTTCGTCGAGTTTCAGTTATTTCTCATTCAACGATTGCTTCCATTGTGTATCCCCTATGATATGTCCTAAAACGGGTAACTGTCGGAAACCTCGGTATGTTTTGTACTCTTTTCATTGATAACTTTGACAATGGGCGGATGGATCCCCTCCTGTCTGTGCCGGAGCACAATGATTCATTGGTTACAGTACGACTACTACAACCATTGTATCACCACTCCAGAAAATTCGGTCTGCTTGTAAACACACCTTTGCTTGTTTAATTGCGCCTTCTAATAAACTAGTCGGACTGCATTTTGTATTATAGCAATGAAACGAAGACTTTTCGACCGTGGGCGTTTTCATGTCACGTCAAAGCTAATGAAACTTGGGATCAACCGTGAAATGTAAAGAATTGACTATCATTTGAGTTTTTGAAAATGAAAAGTTGTGTTGGCCACACACCTGCGAATAGTCTGGCATGTATTCCTTATACCACATGATCGGAGCCTTTGCATAAGTGCAGACTTACTTCGTTCTCAATGGAAAAATCTCTGTGAAGATTTGAACCGTTTTTTTCGGTTGAAATAGTTTAAATTCTGTATTGAGGGATTTCAAAAGGAGCACGATTCTATGGTTTTCTCTAATACAGCGTATATGCCTAACAGAAGCTGAGATTCAAATTTTCAACGAAGCTGTAAAATCAAACAAGAAGAATAGCAAAATGGCTAGGACCCAGTGTTTTCCAATCCAGAGCTAACCATGCCTTTCAAAAGTTAAGAACGGTGTTTTCAGTCGTAGTGGAATGTTTACGATGCTGTTATATCCGCAAGTAACACCCCAGATGCTAAGAGACTCAGTCTTCAGTCCTCCTAGATGCGAATGCAAAAAAATCAGGTAACTTCCCACTCATCTGACATTATCACATGCAAAGCCTGCCACTGATCCTACCTCCAACTTGATTGATGTACAAAAGTTATGACGATACGAAAGTTTGCGACATATCAGTCTGCGGCAAACGGATTAACCCATCGCAAACCGTCGGTTAACCACGTATTAATAGCATCACTGTAGTGAGGTTGATAATAGTTGCAAATTTTGTTCTTTGTTTGTTTATTTCGATTGTGTTAACTTTCCGTTTCACCAGTACCCTGACATGTACTGCGTACGCCAAAAATATGGTAACAACTTCAATGGAACTTGTAATTTCTGTTTTTGGAGGGATTCCCCAAATCGACACCTTCTCATATATCTGCCATATACCTTGGCCGACATATCTGGTTTGGGCCCTCAATGGGTCAGTTTTTGAAAAATGAAAACTCGCAATCATCCAGCAGCCGTTTCGTCTTTGCGCGCATTCGGTGAGTACTTATCTGAAATTACTCCTAGTTGAGACATGTGGCAGATTACACGTATGACAGCATCTTGAATCGCGATTAGTGAAGAGGTCAGCCGTCTTCATCTTATTTCATTCACAACCCCTTATCCGAATGCACTTGCCTGAGAATAATCACGCAGAAACACGAGAAGAATGACCGTCGAGTTGAATGTATCTTCTACTTTAATGAGAACAATCTTCCACGAGCAAACACAATTGTATCCAGATAAATTTCGAAGGCCTAACGGATCTTATTTCAGAAAGAAGTTCGAGAGAGAACTCGAAAAACATTACATATCTGCACGCGGCACGCGTTTCGACACAATTTTTCCTAATGAAAAGGTGTCAAACGTGAAAGAAGTGTTGAAAGCCCAGAACACCGTACATTTCTTACTACAAATGGTGAGGAAGTTGAGAAGATTCAGATCGCTCCTCCTAGCCACTTTCCTTCTCCTGATGGTTTAGGTTGAATTCTGTGCCATCAGAGCAATCCAGCCTATTTTGTTGAGAAAAGCATGAATATTAATGTTTCCCAAGAAGGTGGTGCTTATGGTCAAAAATTATTTCAAAGCTTGGAAATACTCGCGTACGTGCTCTTGAATGGAAAAAAGAGCAAGGCCGGCGATGAGGAGATGCAGGCAATTTCATCCCGGCTTCCGATTGACCTTCGAATTTTTCGGCCCAATCCAACGATGCACTTCAATACCGAGATGTATACTGGAGATGGAAGCCTGCGCTCCAAATCAGACCACTGTTGTCGCTTCTGAGGGATTGTTGAGAAAAGCTCACGATAGAGTTTCTCAAAAAACCTCGTCATCAATAAGCAGCCGAAGCTTCTTTGAACTTTAATTGCTGCATATGACGGTTATCTCCGGTGACTTGCGATCATTTTGTTGGTGCGACGCATAGTAAATAGCTCACATAAAGTCGCCATGTATCTGATTTTTATGCGACAATTATTTTGTTACCAATTCCATGTTACCACCCTGTACACTAAAGTTAGAGAACAGTTGGCCACAGGTGTAGAAATGTTTGATTTACCCTATGAGTGACATTGCCTTTTAAAGAGGTCCGCTTGAGGTTACATCTACTCAGCTGCCGCATGCCGTATTGGTGAATGATAGCCCGTGACCAGTTTCTGGAAGTCTATCGACTTTGTACGAATTAGCAGCGTAATGGCTTCAAAACAAGAGTATTTGCTATCTGCAGGCTCGATGCCGGCTTTTTAGTTAACATTGGATGTCACTACGGATGTCCTTCTCTGAGGGTTTTCTCTCACTGAAGGATCCCAGCCGGATAGCGACGAGGTTACGTAGGACGTCCTTAGGTGACGGATAGAAAGTTGCCGACTGAAAGTCGCGAACACTTGCCCAGAGACGCGTTCGGGTCTAGAATATGGATCATTTGCTTCTGCAGCGCTGGCCGATATACATTCTGTTTCTAGCAGGAGTATCCACGCATGCGTGTGTGGAAAGCCTGCAGGATTACAGTTGCTATCCTAACCATCGACTCGGCCAAAAACTTGCATTCGAGTGAATGGGAATATCTGGAAGGCAACTCGGGGCTGCCTCCAGAAACAAAGCCCTGCGTCCTTTTTGGAATAGCCTGGCTAGCACCCAAAGTCAATCAAGCCCCAAATTAGAGCCTGGCAAGCTACCATTCGCCAAAAACAGTAATACGAATGGGCCTCATTTCCCTGAATCTGAGGGAGCCAATACGGCAGCGTGGGGTAGAGCCGTTCGGAAGAGGCTGCTAGCTAAGATTTCGGGGCCAAAACGGGCTGCCCCGAAGGACGACTGAGTTGACAACCTGTATTTTTCACGCATGGACGCTTGCATTGGAAGCGTGTATGGAAGACCTGATAATGTGAGTTAGGAAGATAAAGTATGACGTCATCTGAGACACCTGATGGGCAGTTCCATAATGGAATAGAACACATCATCATCAATCGGAGGCTTTGCCTACCTGATGTCGCTGTTGTCCCGAAGTTCTACCGAAGGATCATCGTTTCCTCCCCCCTAGATTCTATTTCTCATTGCGTGGAGAGAGCTAAATTAGCTAAAATTAAGGAAGCGAAGCCCCAGGAACTCCATCAGCTAGAACCACTATGCTACCCTTCGAGTGACGCTGAGGCGAATAAGTACAAAGTAAATATCGAAGGCCTCGTTCGAGTCGATGAATGTAAGACATGACGGCATTTTGTACCGCCTGCGAAACTTCCTAAGTCTTGTAAGAGTGTGGATATGATTAGTGCATTGAATCCTCCCCAAGACCATGCTTGCTCGCATGGTTGTCCTTCGTCTAACCTGCTGCCAATTCAGTTAAGCATGACGTGATTGAAAAGCCTGTAGATTACAGACAGCAGGCAGGTTGGGCGATAGTTGCCAATATCGCCGGTATCTCCCCCCACAACAACACAGCTTTGCCTGTGCCAGAATTCCGACGATAACTGTGAAGAACTCCTTTGAATTGTGGTTTGATCCGATCGAGACCGGATGCCGTGCAATCCTTAATCGACGTGATGGCGTGTCGAGTTTTGGAAGGGAGAGCCAAAGAAGCAAAATTTTTGTATTGCCTCAGATGGTGGGTAGGCTAGACGTGGCTATCGAAGAGATTCGAGTAGAAGTCGTGGATGATCTTCTCCATCACCCTTCGAGATGCAGTAACTCTTCCGCAGACGAAGGAAATCCATTTTGTTTATGAAATCGGCGAAGCTCCGTGGGGCTTCGTGATTGCTCTTTCAAGTCTCGGCGGTTTCCTCCATAGCTGCTGCTCTTCTCTCTTTTAGATCTTCCTTTATCGCTTTTCCGCATAGCTTCGCTGCATAGCTGCAAGTTCGGTTAATGCTTGCTTGCATCTCGCGCTACTCCAGAGACTCTCGAGCTGGTGTATCAGCTCGAGCGTCTCCGAGACATTTATTCGGCCACTTGTGAACTCTCTGCTTTTCTAGCATCATCGTGAAGATACTCGACGACCCTGTCTTATTCTTTATAGATGTTGTCCATAGCGTCTCAATTTTATAGCTTTCTCGCTCCACGCAATGAGAACTAGAATCTAGAGGGGAAGAGACGATGGTCCGATCCTGTGTAGAACTTCGGGACAACAGCGACATCAGTCAGGCAAACCCTCCGATTAATGATGATGTGTTCTATTCCATTATGGAACTGTCCATCAGGTGCCTCCCATATCCAAAAGAGACTTCGTGGAACTTCGTGTTTCCATGGAAGGTGTGGATTGACCTAAACTCGGACAGCCCCTTTCATTCTGTGAGTCCCGATGTGGAGCTCTTCAGCCATTCCTCTGGGACTAGAAAACGTCTAGCTGGACTTCTGCTCGCGGCTCGACTCTTGACAAAAAGCTCGAAGTATGTCGGGATCGAAGCATGTGTATTAAGATGTTCTGAATGACGCCCTGTCCTGATGTCACTCGCAATTCATAGATGACCCGACCGAAGACTCCAACGCGTTGAATCGGGTTGAATCGGGTCTCCTCATTCGTGCTAAACAGGTCATGCTTCTTCGAGCGGAGGCATCCGCTCGCATCTCAGATGCGACGAAGGTTCTTCCACGACAGGAAGAAACTTTAGGCTTGACTAGAATGCCACACATCTTGAAAGGCTGCATGCAAATGTCAACTACAGACAAGCAGTGCGACGAGACCTTCACCTGTACACGGGGAGGAGACGACTAGAGGCAGATTTGAACAGAACTGATCTGAAAAAATACCATCGGGCTGTCATTCTTCGGGAACACGTCAGAGAAGGTTGTATCATGGATTACGGCACCAGTGGCAAGCCAGCAATGACGCGAATTCTTACGAGCCGCAGTTAGAAGAAGAGTTGAGACAGAAACATAAGTAAAACCTTCAGCCCGAGGGAAGCCCTGTATGTTATCCAAAACTTCTTTTACAAGATGAATCTGAACTGAAAACCAAACTGAATTGGAGGGAAACACAACACAAGAACGAAAATTCAGAACGGTCATGTTTCCTTTGCTTTGGTGAACTTATCGTGAAATATAACACAATAGACGCTGAGTTGTCACGGGTTTTACAGGCTAGATCCGTACTGTCTTAAACGGGGGACGGAACGTTCGTACGATTCGAAGCGCGCGCGGGTAATTGC